ACGACTTCCTCTTTAGAGAGAAATTAGCATAGCTGCTGTTCCCCAGATTACTTAATTGTATTTTACAAGAAAATGTGTTTAATTCAACACGTTTCTTTATAATTGTTTGTAAAGTGCAACGATTTATTCATTATTTACAATTTCAAAGTGAAAATAGTTGCAAAGTCAATCCTAAACCAATGTTTTATTCAGTGATAGCAGAAAGAGTATATCTTGATTAATGCCCAAATTAAAAATATATCAAATGAGTGAATCAGCTTAGCGGCAATGCAGTTATATTCTCTAAAAGTAATCTTCCCTAGTACAGTCTTTGTGTTTCGTAGCTCTTACCAGGTGGTGTTGCCATCCTGCAAGCAGAGGTGGCATGTGCCACCCAGTTGGGGGAAGTGGCGCTTTGCCACAGCCAGCCGTGCCATGTTCACTGAAGGATGTTTGAGATGGTGTGTGTGTATGCGGCCCACGGTCCATTAACAGAAGGACTGATTTGACACCAGCCCCGTCCCCCTGTTTGTGTGATCGTGTGTGTGTGTGTGTAGGACAACCGACTCCCTTCAGCAGGACAGATTGCTTTGCTGGTCTATGGCGGTGACACCTGCCTCCTGCCAAAACAGACCCACTGCTCACTGAGGACCTGCTGAGAACTGTGTCTGTCTGCCCTGGCAGCGCTCCTATTGGCTGCCTGCCACAAGCTCCGCCTACTTTCAACACCATCTTGAGATGGTTGAGGTGGGGAGGGACTTCCCATAATCCCCATTTGACTGACAGCGGGAGAGGGCCGCTCCCAGAGGGGGATTCACTGCCGGGGGTACAGTAGCCAGATCTACATGTAAAGTAAAGTGGCTCACAGGCAAACACTGGCTGTATTCAGAATAGCATACTTCTGTATTAAAATTTTCTTCATGTATGTAACATGCGTAAGCTTTTTTTTTTTTCTGTGGCACGAATGAACTAAAGTAATAGCAACTGTGATTTTTAACAGTGATGTCTTTCTTGGATCATTATTTGATATTTAAAATTTACACAAAATTAAATGCAAAATAAAAGAACAGAATATTCTAATATATTCAGTAATTATAAATAAGTCAGTTCAATTTATAATTAAACATTAATTTCATTATTTTAATACTAAAATATTCAAATGTTTAAAATTTTTAAATAATACAATTATTTCTAAAAATACTCAATAATGTATCAGAATGCTGGCAGTTAAAAAAGTTCTACACAAAATTAGATGCAAAATAAAATAATATAATAATCATAAATACATATAAGGAAATAATTTAAAATATATTAAAATATAATAAATAATTGTTCAAATAACATTACATCTATAATTAAAAAGTATCTTAATATTATAATGATACAATATTATTAAAATGTTTGTAATATTTTTTTAAATAATACAATTATTCAAAATTATTTGATCAGAATTTCAACAGTTAAGATTTTCTAGACAAAATTAGATGCAAAATAAAATAGCCAAATAACTAGGTCCATAGGTACTGTACAGTACGCTAAACTCGTAAAAAATAAAGGTTCTTCATTGCATCCATAGAACCTTTCCGTTACACAAAAGGTTACTAAGAAGAAAATATTCTTTTAAGAATTGTTCACTGAAAGGTTGTTTGGGGGAACCAAAAATTGTTCTTCTTTCATCACTGCGAAAACTCCCTTTTGGAACCTTCATTTTTAAGAGTGCAAGTGCAGTATGCGATATGTGGTATGCTAGTATTCTGAACATATTCACACTGAACATTTTTCAGTTTCTTTCAAATTAAATTGTTTGGCCACAATCAAAGACAGCCTTGATAAGATATGAGAGTCTTTAAGAAATCACAAACAGAATCTGAGATTGTTTGTTCTGCTCATTATGAAGAGCTGTTGTTTATTTATTTTTAAATCGTGTTAATTTGTGTCACTCAGCACTGCGCTTATTTAATCTCCAGAACAGCAGCGTTTCTGACAGGTTTTACGGCAGATTGTACTCTGTGTGCTACACGAGAACAATCACAATGAATGTAAAGTTCAACATTTCACCACTCTGGGTTAATAAACCCCCTGAGGTAATGGGGTATGCAAATTAAGTTGGAAACACTTTTTTGAGTAACGGTTTATGAACGGTTTATTTAAAAGGTCTAGTTCACCCAAAGAAATCTTGCAGTCTTATAATTCAGCAAATATTGATAGGAATTTCAGTCTGTCCCTCTCACAAATTTATCATATGACTTCAGAATACTCAAAATGCACTCTTAAAAATAAAGGTGCTTAAAAGGTTCTTCACAGTGATGCCACAGAAGAACGTTTTTTTGGTTCCACAAAGAACCATCTCTTTCTTACCTTTTTATAATCTGAAGAACCTTCTTTCGCCACAAAGAACCTTTTGTGGAACAGAAAAGTTCTGCAGATGTTAAAGGTTCTTTATGGAACCATTTAGACAAAAAAAAGGTTCTTCTATGGCATTGTGAAGCACCTTAATTTTTAAGAGTTTAGTATTATAATGAATATATAGCGGTCAAATTTGCTGAAATATTACCTACCCTCAGGCCATGCAAGATGTAGATGAGTTTGTTTCTTCATGGGAGCAGATTGGAGAAATTTAGCAGTACATCATTTGCTCACCATCATGCAATGCAGTGAATGGGTGCCGTCAGAATGAGAGTCCAAACAGCTGCTAAAAACATCACAATAATCCACACCACTCCAGTCCATCAGTTAACATCTTGAGAAGTGAAAAGCTGCACGTTTGTAAGAAACATATCCATGATTAACGTGTTTTTAATTTCAAACAATTATTTCTGACTAGAATATGAGTCCTCTATCCATAACATGTCTTTCTCCAGTAAAATAATTGATTTTGAAATCAATTTTGAAGTCCAAAATTGTTGTAAACAAATAGAGTTTGATGTGAGAGGACAACAGGTGATGGACTTTTTCACACCACTCCAGTCCATCAGTTAACATCTTGAGAAGTGAAAAGCTGCACGTTTGTAAGAAACATATCCATGATTAACGTGTTTTTAATTTCAAACAATTATTTCTGACTAGAATATGAGTCCTCTATCCATTACATGTCTTTCTCCAGTAAAATAATTGATTTTGAAATCAATTTTGAAGTCCAAAATTGTTGTAAACAAATAGAGTTTGATGTGAGAGGACAACAGGTGATGGACTTTTTTACTGGAGAAAGCGTCATTATGGATTATGGGCTTATATTTTGGCCAGAGGCAATGATTTAAAGTTAAAATGCCTTAATCATGGATTTGTTTCTTACAAATATGCAGCTTTTCGCTTCACAGGATGTCAACTGATGGACTGGAGTGGTTTGGATTATTGTGATGTTTTTAGCAGCTGTTTGGACTCTCATTCTGACGGCACCCATTCACTGCAGAGGATCCATAGGTGAGCAAGAGATGTAACTCTGCATTTCTACAAACCTCTTGTATAAAAACTCATCTACATCTCGGATAGCCTGTCAGCTAATTTACATTTTGGGTGAACTATTTCTTTAATATAAATAAGAAGGGCAGATTCCACCATAAGCACAGATATTGTTTGTCTGATTCCATCGCTGTTTTTATTTATTTATGGCCCAGTGGTGAGGTCATAATCATGTGTTTGTGAGAGTCCTTCATTATTTATATCTAAGTGCTCTAGTGCCCTTCGTGCTTGTTTTATGGCTGAGGTGATGTCAGGTGCAGAATCTTTTCATTTCTTCTCATTCACCACCATAAGGATGACACATTTAGACATACCATCTAGTTTTGTAAATTACAGACAACATGCCAAACCCTCCTGCCCCTTCACATGCCACTCATGCACATTCTGAACCTGAATTATTAATATTATGGTTATTTTTTCCCTGATTATTATTATTATGTTGCAGTTGTTAAGAAACAGATTTCGCCTTCGGCCATCACAGTAGGGATTTTCGTGTGTAGCGTGGGCTTTCAGCGTCGCGCTGCTGTGAATTTTGATGAGACCTTGAAAACTAAATTGAATGTTGCAGCAAGTCTCTCTCTTCTCTATCTGAGGCTTTACTATATCAGCCTCTTTTTCTCACTCCCAAAATACCTTTCTGCTATGTTTTTTTTTTGGTACGTTTGCGTACAACACACACAAAACAGAGACACAAACTAATGTGACGTATATCATATATAGACTATATCAGGCAGGTAATGTAGGAACAAATTGTAAATATGAAATATTTGAGTCCTTTAAATCACTGCATTGCTATAGAATAGAATAAAACAGAAAATAAACCTTTAAATATTAGAAGGAAAAAAAACTGACAAATTAAATGCTATTTCTAGGTATGCTATTTTTTATTTTAAAAACCCACTCTAATGAAATAATTAACATCAAAGACGGTTATGATAACGGTGAAGTATTTAGCCAATTATAGTCAACCACTTTCTCTCTACACACATACACGCTTTCTCGTTCTGAGTTGGTGAGGTGTTGATGTAGTTTAGAAAGAGAGATCTCAGTACTAACACATTACCATCTCGTCTGCTGCTAAATGTGCTTTCTGATGGCATCAGTGCTCGCCTGCGGCTCTTCAAAGAGGCTCATTTTGCTAAACCCAGATTTTTTTTTGCTCAGAGGTTCTATTTCTTTGAGGTCTCAGATAAAGTTTGTTTGAATATCGACTTTGTCTCAGATGTCTCTCAGATACTGTAAGATACTGTCGCTCAGATAATTTGTTTTTTGAAAGACTTGTGAATTTTTGGTATCTTGGTGAATCTGAGCAGTTTGAGACATTGCTGAGATATCTTCTAAAACTCTAAATGAGACAAATGTGCAATTTCTAGGGTATTTTCACTCTTGGAATTCTCTGATGGACGATGATGGAGATGTTTGGTCTCATTGCAGTCTAGGAGAAAAAAATAAGATATCAACAAGCCATAATTTTCCCTTTTCAACATTAAAATGGAGGTCTGTTGTAATGAAATCTGTAATTAAAAAAAAAAATCAACCAAATCTCTCTCTCCGTCTCTCAGGAGCTGTCTGAGGTGAACTCCACACAGGTGAGGAGTCAGACGAACACGGCTCGTGTGGATGGATTACGGCCGGGCACCATGTACGTGATGCAGGTTCGCGCCAGGACGGTTGCCGGTTTCGGCAAATACAGCAGCAAAATGTGCTTCCAAACCCTCACAGATGGTACGAACCCCCACGCCAATGCCTGCGTGTGTTTGTGTGTGAGCTGTGTGTATGTGTGTGGAGGCACTCTTTGGATCCGGGTGATCTCGTTCCTCGAGCTGATTTATTTAGAGTTGTCGAAATAAATGCTTCACTGTTCCATTTTTATGCTCAGTAGATTCCAAGTTTGACTGATCATCATTGTGTGTCATAGGCAGGTTGTGTGTGTGTGTGTGTGTGTGTGTGTGTGTGCGCGTGTGCATGTGCATGTGTGTGTGCATTTGACTGTTTTCCAGACAAACTGCTTAGTTCAATGATCTTCATCAGGACCATGTGTGGCATTCAAGCTTTCCCAGAATGCTTAGCTCATCGATAAGAGAATGATGTGATTAATCATCATCTGTGGGGGGTCCAGTATCTATCTATCTATCTATCTATCTATCTATCTATCTATCTATCTATCTATCTCTATCTATCTATCTATCTATCTATCTATCTATGTGTCTGTCTGTCTGTCGTTCTATCATTCTATTGTTCTATCTATTGTTCTGTTGTTCTTTCCTTTTATCTATCTATCATTCTATGTATTGTTCTTGTTGTTCTGTCTATCATTCTTGCTCTCTATCCATCAATTAATCTACAGTATATATAATTTTGTATATTGTTATATTGTTCTATTGTTATTTCTATAGTTCTATCATTCTATTGTCTATTTATTGTTCTAGCATTCTATCTGTTGTTCTATCTTTCATTCTATCCACCATTCTATCTATCTAGCTCTTTTTATCATGTTTTTTTTTCTTATTTGTTCCTCCCAGCCAACTTTCTCATTCTTTAACTCTCATCCTCTGTTTATTTTTTCTCTTTCACTCTCTCTCAGCGGAAGTAAATGGATGTGTTTATTGTGTCTTAGGGCTCATTTCATTCATCAGTGGTTGAACACACACACGCATACGCGTGCACAAGGGGAAAAAAATATTTTTTTTCATCTGAGGTTCATTTGATTGTTTCCGAGTCCATTCTTTTTCCTTTTTTGTCAATTTGTTTTTATGGAAATGTAGGCCTTTGTAAACTTTAAAATGGACAACAAGAAACATAAATAGCCCCCCCCTCTCTCTCTCTCACACACACACACACACTCGTAACCTCTGTCTCTCTCATGGGTTTGATTAATGGCTCTGTATCTGTAGTCTAGCATGTCCTGCCTGATGACTGTGCCAGGGACACACACACACACACACACACACACACACACTGTGGATGCCAAGGGGACTGGACTCTACAGGACAGAAAGACATCCGCCAGGCAGCTGGCTAGTTCCTGGGGCTTCACACACAAACACACACACTTTACCTGTCCAGCTCACTTGCACATTCATTTTTTAGGCTTTTACCCAACCCTCCTTGTCTTTGCTGTCACACTGGTGTAAATATAACTGAACTGCTCTGGCAATCTGGGACACACACACACACACACACAGAGACACAGGTCTAATGTGTGAACATGGCCCCGTTGTTAAACGGTGTGATACATGTTCTTTCTTGACTATAATTAATGCATTTGCTGTTTAAATCTGCATTTATGCATTTTGCATATCTAATGCATCTTACACTGTATTCAATGTATACATATTATCAGTTAATGCATTCTCTAAGAATCAAACCCATGACCTTGGCCATGCTTTACTGTTTAGCTACAAGATATGCAGGTTATTCATGGCACACACACCACAAACATGCAATACATGCAACAAACACACAATAAATCATAAAGCACTTAAGTTAACCATGTAGTGAAATCACTTATAGACATGTGCATGCAACAGACTTGCAAATCAGCTATGCAAATACACACACTAAAAATACGCATGGCTGATTTGCGTGTTTGTTGCATGCATGTGTGTGTGTGATTTGCATGACTGATTTGCATGTATCAGTTTTGAATGCTTTTTGCATGCATGTGCTGCATGTTTATATGCTGAGTGCAGCTGTGTGTTGCATGTTTGTTGTGGATGTGAGTGCAGGTTTGTTGCATGTGTGATTTTAATGGTGGTTTTGTATGTTTATGTTTTGTTGATTGCATGCGTGTTTGAATGATTGTGTGTTTTGGTTTTTGGATGTTTTGTTGCATGCATGTGCTGTTTGGTATTGCATTGCATGTTTGTTGCATGTTCAGTGTGTGTATTTGCATTGTTGATTTGCATATTTGTTGCGTTCACATGAGTGTGGTTTGCATGATTGATTTTTGTGTATTTGCTGGGTGCATGAGTGTATGTTCCGTGTTTGGTATTTGCATGGCTGATTTGCAGATTTGTTGCATGTGTGTTTGTATATTTGATTTTTGAATTGTATGTTTATGTTTTTTGTTGCATGTGTGTGACTTGCATGATTGACTTGTGGTTCGGTTTTGGTTGATTGTTACATGATGTGCTGCATGTTTGTTAAACGTACAATGTGTTTTGTATTTGCATGGCTTTATTTGGCTGTATTTGTTGCATGCATGTGGGTATGATTTGCATCACTGATTTGTTTCATTTTCAGTGTTTGTTGCATGCATGCATTTCATGTTGTTGTGCATTTGCATGAATGGTTTGTATGTGTGTTGTATGCAAGTGCTTCTATGTAATTTGAATGATTTAATAGTTTGTGTGCTTATGCATCGATGTGTATGTGTTGCAAGTTTTAGGTTTGTGCATTTGCAACACATGCATGCACAAAAAACTGAAAAACACCTAAAACTGAAAACTGAAACACAAATCAGTCATACAAGTCATACAAACATGTATGTAATACAGAAACAAAGCAATCAAGTAAATTAACTTAGCCATAGAGTATGCATGTACTCAACAAACAGACAGACATGCACACTTACATCATCGTGCAGTGTTGAAATATGGTATTCACTAACACAAATGAAATGGAAAATACAGACAGAACACAATGATGTCACACTGATGAAGACAAAACTCCCTGTGCATGTGTGTGCAGGCATATCCGTGCCGTCATACTCACTAAAGTAATTAGTGCCCGCGTTTGCCCTGCACCAACTAACGGGTACATCCACTGGCATTCTGCCATGGCACGACATTCGTTACGACAATTAGCACCAATCACGGGGGAGAGAAGTCCACCTCACGCACACACACCTTCACAAGAAGCACAACACATGCTCTCCCTGGAGTCTGTCTCTCTCTCTCTCTCTCTCTCTCTCTCTCGTTTTGACAGCCAGGTGTAATGACGAGAAATGATTCTGTTAAATGAGGGGTGTTTAGGGCCCAGTACTCACAGATACTGCTCTACTTTCTGTTGGCCATTATGGATTTAGCCAGTATGCTAAAAACGACCACGAGTGTGATTGTTTAAAATAGTGTGCTATGACACTTACATGCATATGCAACATTTTAATACACCTACATTCACAAAAAATGCACACGATATGGGTGGAAATTGTGAATTAAAATGAGTTGTGCTTGCTTCCTACTGGTTTAAAGTGGTCTAGTCCAATGTGCTCCTGCAGTCCAGCACTGTGCTGGTTATATGTAACTGTGTTACACCGTTTCGTCCCATGTTTGAGTAAGATAAACACTTTAGAAGCACACAAATCAACCATATGCATACAATAAACATGCAACATGTAAAAATGTTTTTTTTACTGTATTTTTTTTTACCAAAATACAGTAGAAAAATTATTATTGTGAAATATTATTACAATTTAATATAACCATTTTCTATTTTAATATATTGTAAAATATTTATTCCTGTGATGTAATGCTGGATTTTCAGCATCATTGCTCCAGTCTTCAGTGTCACGTGATCATTCAGAAATCATTCTAATATGCTAATATTTGCTGAATAAGAAACATTTCTTATCATTATCAATATTGAAAACAGTTGTGCTGCTTAATATTTTTGTGGAAACTGTGATATATTATTTCAGGATTCTTTGTAAATATCTTACCTGTCACTTTTAAATCAATTGAATGCATCATTTCTGAATAAAAGTATTAATTTATTCAAAAAAAAAAAAACTTTTGTACGGTAGTGTGCATAATGCAACTTACATACAATAATACATTTATGTAGAATGCAATTAAATCATAAGTAACCCCTATGTTTTTAGTTGTTGGGCTGTTTACACGTAGCTTCATGTAGCAAGCAGCTTTTTCAAGAGATAGATCTGTCTGTCAAACACAGAATGACAAATAATGATGTATATCAGTCTCTTTCGCTCATGCAACGTCTTGTTTCTTCCCACAACTAGCTTTCTCATTGTTTCTGACACGCTTCTTCTTTTATGTTTACATAGCTTTGTGTATAGCCACATTTTGTTAGTTCTTAGTATTATTTCAGAAAATACTGTGACTGCAGTTTATGCTACTTACAATTATGAGCAGCTTGTAGTTTAGCATGCTACGATCTCAAAGTAGCTTCCTCAAACCACTCAAATGTTTGTTCTCCTGTATATGCGTGAACCGCTCAAAGGTTTGTCTGTATTTGAACATCGACTAAAGACATTCCATCCTTGTCTTTGTTGTTTTTAGACTGTGATGGCAGGATTAGCCATGTTGATGGGCCGCACACATCGCTCACACACACTTCACCAGTCGCTGTCATTCGGCTGTGTACCTTAAGTGTTTTCCTTCCCTCCTTTCATTCCGTCTGTCCTTTTTCATCGCTCTTTCTCAGTTGACATCTGTCAGCGCTAGGCATTAGTATTACCTGACCACCGTGTTTTAGCGCTTCCTTTTGTATCATTGTATCACTCTACTATCCCTCTCTCTTTTTCCTCTACTCTGTTTCATTCAAAGCTCGCACCTCCTCAGTTCTTAAATCTGTATTCTTTTCCTCCGTACGTCTTTGTGTGACCCCCCCCCCCCCCCCCCCTCCCCCCCCCTCTCTCCTCCACCTACACCTCCCCCCTC